CACCAGCCCCGAGGGGCTGGTTCCGTTGGTAGACTTTGCAGACGCTTGGCGGAGCCTGACGAACATTTCTCCGCGGGTCCTGCGCACTGCCATAGATGGGTATCGACTACAGTTCAAAACCCGCCCTCCAAATTCAACAGAAGAGAGGGGGTGGTTTGGACTGTGGTCCGCCCGGAGCAAGGTCCGGTGTTGGGACAGGAAGTTTGTACTCTGCTGAGGAAAGGGGCCGTGGAACGTGTCTCCCCCCCAGACAGAGACGCCGGTTCTACAGCCGGTACTTCATAGTCCCCAAGAAGGACGGAGGGCTGCGTGCCCTATTTTGGATCTGCGGGTTCTAACCGGTCTCTGAGGAGATTCAGGTTAAAGATGCTCATCATCCCCGCCACCGTGACGCACATCCAATCTGAGGATTGGTTCGTCACGATAGATCTAAAGGACGCCTATTTCCAGGTCTCCATCCGTCCTTCTCACAGGAAGTTCCTGAGGTTTGCCTTCGGGGGTGTGGCTTACCAGTATCGGGTTCTTCCATTCGGCCTGGCACTTTCCCCTCGCACATTCACCAAGTGTATGGATGCAGCACTGGCCCCGCTGAGGCTCCGGGGCATCCGGATTTCAACTTCATCGACGACTGGCTCATCCTAGCCCAGTCTCGAGAGTTGGCGGTTCGGCATCGAGATGTCGTTCTGGCTCGTCTGCGGCGTTTAGGGCTGAGGCTCAACGCAAAGAAGAGCGTGCTGGCGCCCACCCTACGGGCTACGTTCCTAGGGGTTGCATGGGATTCGACAACGATGCGGGCACAATTGTCTCCGGCACGTGTCGACACCATATTGGCTGCCGTGAAAGGGGTGAAGTTAGGCCACGCCATCACTATGAAACACTTTCAACGAGTGTTGGGTCTCCTGGCGGCTGCGTCCAGCGTTATACCATCTGGACTGCTGCACATGAGACCCCTGCAGTGGTGGCTAAGGAACAAGGGTTTTTCCCCGAGGGGAATCCTCTCCGTCTGGTTTGGGTTACGCGCAAGTGTCTTCGTTCCCTATCAGTTTGGAAGGAAACTTGGTTCCTGTCCCAGGGGCCCGTGCTGGGAGGGGCTTGTCGCCGGCTGGTTCTTTCGACAGACGGCTCCCTCACGGGCTGGGTCGCGGTCATGGACGGCCGCTTTGCAAGGGGATCCTGGCAGGTGCATCAATCCGAGTGGCATATCAACTGTCTCGAGATGTTGGCGGTGTTCCAGGCTCTAAGGAGTTTCCTGCCCGATCTCCAAGGCCACCACGTCCTGGTTCGTTCCGAGGAGAACAACACAGCGGTGGTGACCTATCTGAATCACCAGGGCGGTCTGCGCTCGCGCCCTCTGGACAGACTGGCGCGTCAGATCCTCCTGTGGTCCCAGCAGAGGTTACTATCGCTCAGGGCGATGTATCTCCTGGGGACGCAGAATCAGGGAGCAGACCTGCTGTTGAGGCAGGGGCTGAGGCCCAGGGAATGGAGACTTCACCCCGAAGTGGTGGAGCGCTTGTGCGAAGAGTTCGGCCCCATAGACGTGGATCTGTTTGCGTCTCAAGAGACTACGCACTGCCCGCTATGGTTTCTCTCATTCCTCCAGCCCCGTTGGGTCTGGACGCCATGGTACATTCGTGGCCAAGGCTACGTCTGTACGCTTTTCCCCCAGTCGCTCTGCTCCCGGGGTTCTGGAGCGGGTCCGCCAGGACTATGTCGGCCTACTACTCGTAGCCCCGTTCTGGCCAACCCGGGTGTGGTTCTCGGACATCATGTCGCTCCTGGACGGCCCGCCGTGGCGGGTCCCTCTGAGGAGAGACCTGCTGTCCCAGGCGCAGGGCCGGGTTCTTCACCCTTGCTCCGCCATATGGCGACTGTGGGTCTGGCCCCTGAGGGGGCACAGTACCTAGAGGCGGGTCTAACAGCCGGAGCAGTCGAGACCCTCCTGAGCTCCAGGGCCCCGTCCACACGGAGGATGTACGGCCTGAAGTGGAGTGTTTTCTCCACTTGGTGTAGGGAGCAGTCGGTGGACCCTGTTACCTGCCCGGTGGTTCAGGTACTTGAGTTCCTCCAGGACCGGTTCTCTGCTCGTCTTTCCCCTTCCACCCTCAAGGTGTATGTGGCAGCTGTTTCATCTTTCCACACCACTCTGAGGGAGGGGTTCTTGGGGAAACTTCCCTTGGTTGTACGTTTCCTCCGTGGTGCCCAGAGGATGAGACCTGCGACACGGTCCAAGGTTCCCACTTGGGATCTGGCAGTGGTTCTTGGGGCGTTGGCTGAGGCCCCCTTCAAACCCCTGGAGTCAGCTGAGGCTAAGCACTTGACCCTCAAGATGGCCTTTCTCCTTGCTATCACCTCTCTGAGGAGGGTGGGGGAGCTCCAAGCGCTTTCGGTTTCCCCGCAAAGCCTGGAGTTTGCCCCGGGGAATATTAGGGCTATCCTGCACCCTCGTTCAGGATACATCCCTAAAGTGCCTTCTTGTGCGGCAGGGTCCACAGTGCTGCAGGCATTTCATCCTCCACCTCATGTGACGGCGGAGGACGGGAGACTTCATCTGCTCTGCCCTGTCAGAGCACTGAGTATTTACACTCTGAGGTCCTCCCGTTGGAGGAAGGCTGACCAGCTGCTAGTGTGTTTTGGGTCTCCCAGGGCCGGGCTCCCTGCATCCAAACATACTATTAGCAACTGGATTGTTCAGACTATTTCCCTGGCCTATCAGGTGCGCGGTTTGCCTTCACCTGTGGCTGTGAGGGCTCATTCTACCAGAGGCAAGGCGGCCTCTCGAGCCCTCCTTTCCGGGGCCTCTTGCAGGATGTTGTTTAGCGGCTGGCTGGGCCACTCCGCACACATTCATTCGGTTTTACAGTCTTGACCTTCCTTCGGCACCTGGCACTCGTGCGCTCTCCTCTTAGTCGTGCCACTTTATTGCACACAGGGGCAGGCGGGGTTTTCGGCACGGTTTAGTGGGTATCTCGTTCCCATAGTGTCGTAACCGACGCAGTTCGAGTTCCCTCGAAGGGGAACGTCTCGGGTTACGTATGTAACCCTGGTTCCCCGAGAAGGGGAACGAGAGACTGCGTCGGCCCGCCGCACCTCTCTCCCCGCCTGAAGCGCCTGCTTCATAGTTTAAGCTAATGATGAGTGTGTACAGGTGTGCTTTATACTCCTCCGGTTATTCCGTCACACCTTACCGTTCTAGCAACAGGCCAATAGGATTGGAGTGATTTCATTCACGTTCAGACCTGCTTCGCCTAGAGGCGTTCCCATAGTGTCGTAACCGACGCAGTCTCTCGTTCCCCTTCTCGGGGAACCAGGGTTACATACGTAACCCGAGACGTTACCAGTACGTCCCATTTACATGTAGGCGTGTGTATTGGTTGGTACATACAAGGAGGAGGCTGGCTTGAAGCTTGAAGGAGAACATTAGCACAGTGGCATCCTGACACTGCACTGCAGAGGCACAACCTGAAGGAGAAATTAGTATAAATTAGTGTTAGTATAATGTTATACCATTAAATAAAAAGTATACTGGTAATATATGCAATAATGCATTACTGTGATAATGCATTTTGACCAGTGGCCTCGTTGCCCCGACCACTGTCTTTAACGCCCTTAGTGCCAGCGACCAGACCAGAGAATTGGCTACAACCCACTCTTCTCCAGTGAAGTCAAGACAGTAGTAGTAGATCTGATCACATCGCTATAACCAATCCTGCTTCAGACTGATGCCGGCACCACCCACTCAATTAGCATACGTTCACAGGCATAAATAAATGTGGAAATGTGGAAATACAGGCATAAATAAATGTGGAAATGTGGACCAACAGGCGTAAATAAATGTAGACATAATAAATAAATATAAATAAATGTAGAGATTCAGAAATAAATACAGAAATACATAAATAAATACAGAAACAGCTTTTTTATTACAAAACTATATTTCGTCATTTAATTATTTATTTCTGCATTTATTATTTGTTCATTTATAGATATGTCATTTTTTGTCCCTAATATCACTGGCTCAAGAACAATGGTGTTTTTAATATTCAAGTACCCACTAACCCCGACATCAAACTTAGTTTAGAATATAAAAATATAGAGATTGCAGGTGTCTTCGCTTTCTGCAATTAGTGTTGTTGTTTCCTGTTTTCCCCACCCCCTGTCATGCAGGTGCTGTCCTTTCTCTGTGGTGTCTGTTTGTGTGGTGTTTGTGCCCTCCATCCCCATTTCTGCCCCTCTGTCTGGCCAAGTGACAAATTAAAACATAATTAAATAAATAATAAAATAGACAAAGGAGTATATTAAAACTCTCTTGTTAAAGTAAAATCTGTCTGGCAGAACATGGTATCCAGCTCCTCATACTGTATACCAGGCTGCATGGTGGGGCTGGTTAAAAAGAAATACAGAAATAAACTTCTGGACCTTGACAAGGACATTTGCGTGTTGATTTACATGAAAAACAGTGACAGGGTCACCATCCTAAAGGTGAACTACTCTATATCCAATGTGGCCATTTTCAGTTGTTGAACAGATACAGATCACTCATCCCTAGTACATAGGGGCCCAGTAGCTTATTTCTGCCCAGAGGCCCTGTAGCAAGTGAATCAGACTGTGTTGTTGAGTGAAATAAATGAACAGTGAAACCATCTTTTTGAAGAATTTTTATTAAATCAAGTTGAATTTTTTTAGTCTAGTGGTCAAACTCTTTTTTTTAGATAGAGACATATATGTCTATGTCTATTGAAATATTCTGTGCTGGCAGATTTCTTCAATTACATTAACAAAATAAGAATTTTGAGACTCAATTATAGACAGAAATACCTTGGTAAGATGGAAAGTATTGTTGTGTAGACAGCTGGATTGATTCAATTAGAAGTGTATCTCTCTGTGTTAGAGCTCACACATTAAAATAGAAGTTTCAGCTATAATTATTAATGCATCTGCATTATCTTGGGATTGAATGCCCAACATCTCTCACTTTGTTTATTCTTGTGTTTCTGCAGACTCTTGACTATGAGAACAAGAAGTCATACACCTTCAAGGTTGAGGCATCCAACACACAACTGGACTCCCGTTTCCTTCACCTGGGGCCGTTCAAGGACTCAGCAACAGTAAAGGTGAATGTCCTTGACATGGATGAGCCTCCTGTGTTCACCAAGCCCTCCTACTCTATGGATGTGTACGAGGACAATCCTCCAGGAACCATCATTGGCTCTGTGACGGCTCACGACCTGGATGCCAGCAGCAGTGCTGTAAGGTAACAAGGAATTCATTAGTCAGTGGGAAATATATTAACGGCACCCTGATGGCGCAGCAAAAAATAACATTGTTTCATTGGTGTGCTGTAGCTCTCACACTTTAGTTGTCTTTGCTCTTTATTATTGTTAGTGTGAATGCTATGGTTTCAACTTTAAACACCTCTATGGTGTTTGAACTTGATAACAAAAAACTAAACATGTCCAACTTAAAACACCAAAATGCTAGCTAAAATCTCTTTTTTAAGAAAATGCATTTTACCATCAACAAATGATCAAATTGTGGCTTTATCAGATGTGCTGTTCTATAGCTTGCTTGATTAGAGTACTGGTATCCCAAGCATCTCTTTTCGGCAGCAGTGATAAATGCTTTTAACTTCAAACACCTGTGTGTAGACTGTCTTGCAGTGGTCGGTTTTAAATGTGTATGTTGTTAGTCTAAATGCAGTAATTGTATACATGGAATAAGATTAGCCTTTCTGTGTCTTCATGTTATTTTGCAACACTGGACTACAATGTCACAGAAACTACAAGCACAATCAAAACAGTGCTCTGCCACACATTTGTGGTCATAGATTGCCCTCTATTGGTGCTTTGAAGCAAAACATGCTTTCAGTTTCCACTGACTTGCTGTGGTGTTTTTAAAGTTGTATCTTAGTCTTTCTAAATGCAATCAATGTTTACCTGGATATCAGTGTTTCCTTAAAATAGTTAATAGCTCTATATATTTTATTCGACAACAGTGGACTGGGCCAAATAAATCAGCGCTGGACAGGCCCTCACATGTGAAGCGTCACAGGTATCAGAATCAGAAATACTTTATTGATCCCCAAAGGGAATTTATTTTGTCATAGTTGCACACTTGTCAAGGTAGATAGGTAAAGAGTATATAAATATGAGTATAAATATAAACACAAATATAAAGGAGAGTGGGTATGTACAATATTTATATTATTAAGAATTATTATGGTGAACCAAAAAGTACTAGTGAATAAAAAGCATCATAGAATATTGCACATTAATAATTAAACAGGTAATATTGCACATGGCCACAGGCAGGAATGACTTCCTGTGGCGCTCTGTGGTGCATTTTGGGGGAATGAGTCTTGCACTGAAAGTGCTCCTGTGTTTGAGCAGCACGTCATGGAGTTGGTGGGAGACATTGTCCAAGATGACATGTAGTTTGGACAACGTCCTCCTCTCTGACACCACCGACAGAGAGTCCAGCTCCACCCCCACAACATCACTGGCCTTGCGGATCAGTTTGTTGAGCATGTTGGCGTTCGCTACCCTCAACCTGCTGCCCCAGCATGTAAAAGCAAACAGGATAGCACACAGACTCATAAAACATCCTCAGCATCATCCTGCAGATGTTGAAGGACCTCGGCCTCCTCAGAAAATAGAGACGGCTTTGGCCCTTCCTGTAGAGGGCTTGAGAGTTCTTGGCCCAGTCCAGTTTGTCCATGTGCACTCCCAGGTATTTGTAATCCTCCACAATGTCCACACTGACCCCCTGGATGGAAACAGGGGTCACTGGTGCCTTGGCTCTCCTTAGATCCACAACCAGCTCTTTAGTCTTGATGGTTCTGTTCACACCATGTGACAAAGTCCCCTACCAGAGCTCTGTACTCAGCCTCGTTACCCTTGCTCATACATCCAACCACAGCAGAGTCATCAGAAAACTTCTGAAGATGGCAGGACTCTGTGGTAGTTGAAGTCTGTGGTGTAGATGGTGAAGAGGAAGGGAGAGAGGACAGTCCCCTGCGGGGCCCTGGTGTTGCTGACCACGCTGTCTGACACACAGTGTTGCAGGCGCACATACTGTGGTCTGCCAGTCAGGTAGTCAACAATCCGGGACACGAGGGGGGCATCCACCTGCATCGCTGTCAGCTTCTCACCCAGCAGGGCCGGCCGGATGGTGTTGAAAGCACTGGAGAAGTCAAAAAACATGATCCTCACAGTGCTCGCCGGCTTATCCAGGTGGGCGTAGGTGCGTTTGAACAGGAAGATGATGGCGTCCTCAACTCCCAGTTGGGGCTGGTAGGCAAACTGGAGTGGGTCCAGGAGAGGTCTGACCATGGGCCGCAGCTGATCCAGAACCAGTCTCTCCATGGTCTTCATAATGTGGGAGTTCAGTGCCACAGGTCTGTAGTCCTTGGAGTCACTGGGATGTGGCGTCTTTGGCACAGGCACGAGGCAAGATGTCTTCCATAGCACAGGGACCCTTTGGAGACTCAGGCTCCACATAGCTGGGGGGCATAGGCTTTGAGCACCCCGGGAAGGACACCATCAGGGCCTGCACTCTTGTTGGAGTGGAGTCTCCTCAGCTGTCTTCTCACCTGCTCAGCAGTGAGGCACACAGAGGTTACAGGTGGGGGAGGGGGAGAGTCGTCAGGGAGGGGAGCTGATAACCTGAGAGCCAGAGGGGGAGGTTGGGGTCTCACAGGAGGGTGCGGGTCAGTTTGGAGGAGGAGGAAGGCGGAAGTAGTGGGGTTGGAGGTGTTTGAGGGCAGACAGCAGTTGAATTAGTGGGAGGGATAGGCAGGAGCCATAGCATCAAATCTGTTAAAGAACAGATTAAGTTTGTTGGCCCTGTCCAAGCTGCCTTCAACTCCTCTGCTGCCAGTCGGTCTGAAGCCAGTGATGTTCCTCATGCCGCTCCAGACCTCCCTCATATTGTTCTGCTGGAGTTTACACTCCAGCTTCCTCCTTAGCCTCCCTGATCTTTACCTTCAGGTCCCCCTGAATGGCCCTCACCTCCTCCCTATTACCATCTCTGAAAGCCCTCCTCTTAGCATTCAGGATGTCTTTGATGTCCTTTGTTACCCATGGCTTTTTGTCTGGGTAACAATGGACAGTCTTTGTTGGGACAGTGCAGTCCACACAGAAGTTAATGTAGTCTGAGATACACTCAGTAAGCCCATCTGTGTCCTCTCCATGTGGCTCACAGAGTGCATCCCAGTCTGTTACCTCGAAACATCCCTGAAGAGTCTCATAGGCGTCCTCCGACCATCTCATCACCGTCCTTGTGGTCGCAGGCTGCCTTTTCACCTGAGGCACATAGCAGGGATTGATTTGAACCAGGTTGTAGTCTGACCTGCCCAGTGGGGGGAGGGGGGAAGAGCTGTATGCATCCAGGGTCCTCTCCTCTCTAGTATGGCAGCTCACATACTGGGTGACGCACATTAAACAACACTCCCGAGTTGTTAGCTCATCCATCTTATTAGCCAGTGATCTCACGTTGCCCATGAGAGAGGGGAGACACAGCTTAAATCTCCTTCTCCTAAGTCTCAGTTGCCTGGACCCCTCTCTCTTCCCTCGCTGTTTCGTTCCTCCTCTGCAACCTCTGTGTTTCCTCCTCCAGATCTCAGTGGGGATGTCTGTGGGCCTGGGCACCCCGGTCAGCTTCAGCGCGATCAGCCGGGTGTAAAGAAAGCTGCTAATTTGTCAGTACTTTGACATGCAGCCTGGAAGAACTGGGGATTGAACCTCCAACCTTCAGATTAACAGGCAACCCGCAGACTTTGAACACATGCAAGGAGAGTCAAAAAACAAAAAGAAGACGGCCATTTTGGATTTGTCATATTTGGCGATTTACCTTGTCCTCCGTGCAACTTTCCAGAAATTTTCACTGTGCAATCAATGATCACATCCAACGAAGGTTAAAATCAAGGGCAATTGGACTTGGTTGAAGATACTGGAAGACGTTTCGTCCCTCATCCAAAGGACTTCTTCAGTTCTGACTGACTGGCAGGGAAACTCAGCTATTTAGTTGCAAAATGAATAGAAAATATAGTCAAGACATTGATGAGGTTAGAAATACTGATTTTTAGGGCCCGAGCACGACCGTGTGAGGTCCCTATTGAATTTGCTAAGATTATATTTACTTTACTTATTCACCTTTGTTATAATTACCTTATTTGTTTATTCAACTTTATTTATTACTAATTTTTTAAATGTAATTATTTATGTGTGTGTTTTAATATTTTTGTCTGTTTTATTCTTCCTTTGTATTTATTTACCTTATTTATTTTCTTTCTCTTTTATTTCTTACTGTCCTTTTTAAATTTCTGTATGCATTTCTGCCTCATTATGCAAATGAGGAGGGGCTGTGTCTCAAGGGGTCATCTTCTCTGCTATTGGTGGACCAGTCAGACAGGAGAGCTCCTACTCTGCCTGCAGACATCAACGATCTTGCCCCTCACACAGTCAGATTCCTTCAGTGCGCTGAGGTGTTTAACAACTCTGAAGACACTACCAGCAATGTCTTCCTTCTCTTTTCACGTTCTCCGACAGACAGTGCTTTCAGTTTGCTGCATGCATGGACACAGAACTGCGGTATAGAGAGAAGCACACGGTCAGCTGGCTGCAGCTAAATCTGGAGTGCACTCGTATTCAATTCTGTATGGTAAATTCAGTTTTAACGGAGCAGAGCGAGCTGACAGGCAGAGTTAGAGACTTTTTCTGTCCGTTTCTCTCTTTACAAAGACGCATGTTGCAGTCAGAGTCTTCTCTGAGATGCGATGCGAGCACGACATACAACACAATTTATCAAATTACACAACGGATATACAGTATGAAAATAAGATTGATTGGATTATACTCACAGGAAGTATAAAACCTGTTACATGCGTCTATTAAAAGTAAAGTAACACAGTAATGTCAGGGAAATTACTTTACTTAGATTTAAGTACTGCAGTTGTACATTTGAAATACCTTCCTACCTTTCTGATAGGAAGCCTTCTTCAGGTGGTATAAAACATTTCTTCTTATATTCTGATTTGAGTTGTGGACAACTATGACCACATGAATTTAAAAAATTAAACATTTCACTGCCCAAGTCAGCTATAACACAAGTCTTGTTCATCAGACTACATGCTGTACAGTATTTGTGGACAGATTTTGTCCCAGGATTTATTATGCATTTCTTCTTCTTCGTTGCATGATTTAGAATAATAAGGTGAGAAATGGGTCTGTTCTGAGTTCATCCTGCACTGCAGCAGCTAATAAAGTCCATTTAATCCCCAAAACGCTTTTCTTTTAGGCAGGCTGGAGCAGAAAACAACTCACCTTTCTCAAGTTGTACAGTAATGTCACATGTGTATGAAGGTGGATCAAACAAGCTAATCTTAAATGTCAAAGTAGAGAGGAGCCTAGTAGGCCTATTTATTTTCATTCATTACACAATATGAATAAGCTATGCAGACAGTTGTAAAGAAAGAACATCTTTTTCTTCTGTTCTCTACTTGTTATAGTTACACAGTATTAGGGGTGTGGGCTGTATTAAAAGTATCCACTGTTCTCCCATGCTCTAACACACAGTAACGATGAAATGTGTGCTGTTCTCACATTCTTCTTCTCTATGTACACATAAGCAACAAGGCAGGGAAATATAAAAGGAATTTATTTTATTGTTTGGGTACATTATTGTTCAGTGTACATGCTCACATCTGAAACAAACTTTACGTGCTTGATAACTCTCCCACCCCGCAGACATCTACACACCAATACCGATTTATATTCATAGCGGCAAGTGCTATGTAGCTCCACATAGGGGACACAGGAAGTGACATATAGCACCTTCATGCGGCGTCGGAACCGCGTAGGAAATTCACAGCCGCACCGGCAGAGCTCCAGAATGTGCAACTCGGCCGGCTCAGAAATTTCATCCCACGCTTCCTGAAGCACCTCCCACAAGTTGGACTGGCTTGATGGGCACTTCTAACGTACCATATGGTCAAGCTGCTCCCACAACAGTTCAATAGGGTTTAGATCTGGTGACTGCGCTGGCCACTCCATTACAGACAGAATACCAGCTGACTGCTTCTTTCCTAAATAGTTCTTGCATAGTTTGGAGGTGTGCTTTGGGTCATTGTCCTGTTGACAATGACTGGAAATTGGCTCCAATCAAGCGCTGTCCACAGGGTATGGAATGGCATTGCAAAATGGAGATAGCCTTCCTTATTCAAAATCCCTTTTACCTTGTACAAATCTCCCACTTTACCAGTACCAAAGCAGCCCCAGACCATCACGTTACCTCAACCATGCTTGACAGATGGCATCAGGCACTCCAGCATCTGTTCACTTGTTCTGTGTCTCACAAATGTTTTTCTGTGTGATTCAAACACCTCAAACTTAGATTTGTCTGTCCATAACACTTTTTCCCAATCTTCCTCTGTCCAATGTCTGTTATTTTGCCCATCTTAATCTTTTCCTTTTATTGGCCAGTCTCATAAATGGCATTTTCTTTGCCACTCTGCCTAGAAGGTCAGCATCCCGTAGTCGCCTCTTCACTGTTGGCATTGAGACTGGCATTTTGCGGGTACCATTTAATGAAGCTGCCATTTGAGGACCTGTGAGGGGTCTATTTCTCAAACTAGCTATTCCTCGCATGGAATAGCCTTCATTTCTCAGAACAAGAATAGACTGTCGAGTTTCTCTTTTTCTGGCCATTTTGACAGTATAATCAAACCCACAAATGCGATGCTCCAGATACTCAACTCCAGATACTCAACTAGCTCAAAGGAAGGCCAGTTTTATAGCTTCTCTAATCAGCACAAACGTTTTTAGCTGTGCTAACATAATAGCACAAGGGTTTTGTAATCATCAATTAGCGTTTTAACACGATTAGCTAACACAATGTACCATTAGAACACAGGAGTGATTGTTGCTAGAAATGGGCCTCTTCACACCTATGTAGATATTCCATTAAAAGTCAGCCGCTTCCAGCTACAATAGTCATTTACCACATTAACAAATGTCTAGACTGTATTTCTGATATCTCAATTGAAGAAAACAGTGCTTTTTTTTCAAAAATAGGGACATTTCTAAGTGACCCCAAACTTTTGAACAGTAGTGTATATGACAACATTTGCATTTATTTATAGCTAAATGTTTTTTAACATGAAAATGAATTAAACTAATGCTAATGCTAAACTAATAATTTTGATTAATGTTCAGTTTGGCAATAGCAAAAAGGATACCAGGGAAGACGAACAAATCTGAGGTGATAAATTTAATTTCTCTGAGACTTAAACATAAGACTAGTTCTTAAATTCTGAAGATCATTCAGGACGGCCTCTCAGAAAGATAATATCCACTGCAACACGTGGTGGCGGAGCAGGTTAGGCTATGTGTGGTCCTCAGGTGCCCATTATTATGAGATGCAAAATCTTTGGTGGAAAAGCTCCCCTAAGAATTATTCTTGGCAATCGGCAGGTGCCGTTCATGATGAATCGTGATCCGTAGGCTGGTGGCTGCAAAATTTTATATGCAGAGTGGGGGACGCAGGGATCAAACCACTGAAATTCTGATAAGTAAACAACTGTTCTACTCCTTAAGCCACAGACACCCAGGTACTGGGTTCTCCTCTGAAAAACCCTTTAACTCAATGCTGGAGTGAGCACATTTCTGAAATCTATATATGTCCTTTGAGGACCCAGCCCACCATGGTAACTTATTTCCCTATTATGTGCTCTTATCTTTGCAGGTATTCGTTGGAATGGCACGCAGAGTCTGACAGCTGTTTGACATTGACACCGTTGAAGGAACCATTTCCACTAATGAATACCTGGACAGAGAGACAACTGTGCAGTACAATATTACTGTGGTTGCAACCAAAGTCAGTAAGTAATCCACACCAAAAGCATCCTGCATCCAAAACAAAGCATACACAGTCACTGTGTCTGTTATTGTATTTTGACCTTTTTAAAGTTATAATCCTAAAAATCATACCCTATTTTTGATAGTGTTTAGCATTGTCTCACTAATAGAAAGAAGAAATAAACTAATTAATTGAGATGCTGTAATTACCTGTCTTTAAAGCAGTTTTTATTGTTAGTGGCAGGGTCTACCTTTCCTGCATGTTATTTAAATAGCCATGAATGCTAAATTCAATTTATCTATTTTATTTGTATAGCACCAATTCATCAGAAGTTGAGTTATCTCAATGCACTTTCCATCAAGAGCAGATCTATTCCGTACTCTTTGTAATATTATTTACAGAGACCCAACAGTTCCTACCATGAGCAAGCAATTGGTGCCAGGCAAGGAAAAACCACCTTTTAGGAGGTAGAAACCTTGAACAGAACCCTAGGCTCGAGGGAGGAAGTGAGAGAGAGAGATAGCAGCAGCCAACGCAATATGCACACAGAAATGCTAAAGAACAGTAAAGGTGGTATTGGTACAGACATCAATGAAAATAAAGATTGGTACTAATGATGACAACAATATTAATGATGATTAAAGCTGCAACAGTGTTGGACAAGCCCTCACACCGTGACACACGTCTTGAGCCTGACGCAGCCGTGGCGCAGGGGACAGATGTCGGTAGACCTATCACACATTTTGGACTGGTCATGAAGGAGTTAAACATCACTTCCTGTGTCCCCTAGGTGGCGCTAAACAATACCAGCTAATTATATGTTGTGTACCAGTACACAACCAGTAGTGTGGACCACGCTGCGAAAATGCCATTTAAATTAAATGATTTCTGTTAGAAATGGCTTACTTCCTGTTGCTATTAGGCGGCACTATGACATTAAGTGAATATTGGCATGTACATGTGTTCAGGGCAGGACTCTTATCAAGCATGTAAAGTCTGGTACATATCTAAGCATGTGCAATGAAGTTAAGCAATAAACTTCCTGTTTAATGGCGAATCATCAATATTGTAGGCCACATCACCGACATGCCCTTTGACAAAAACTCACATATAGCACAACCTTTTTGTCAGGATCGCTGGGTGTGCAAAGCAGGTGAGAGCCCAAATGCATGACATAGAGCGCGGAGATACAGGGTATTTAATCCAGGGCAAGACAAAACAGGCATGAACCAAACTCACAGGTACAGGGAAACTGGTACATCAAAAAACCCAGAACAGGTAATGCAGCAACTTGCAGAACAAACAACAACCGACTGAGCATACACGTGACAATGACCGGACAAAGACTGAGGGAAACAAGCAAGGGTACATACACAGGGTTAACGAGCTGGGAGGAGGTACACAGGTGAGGGACATGAGGCTAACGAGGCACACAGGCAGGCAGAGAGAGAGCATGGGAAAACAGAGAGACTTGTATGCAGAGTGATAACAGGGGGAACAGACATGACACAGGTTACTGAACACATAACAGATCAGAGGAATAAAAATAAACTAATAAAGACGCAAGCAGACAGATCACCAAGAACTACAACCAACAATGAAAACAGAATGAAGCTGGGATTAAAGAGAACACAGAGCAGGCAAGGGCAAAATAACACAGAAGTACACAGACCAAAAGTAAACACTAAGATATGAACTGAGACACAGAACTAGGAGCTAAGACACAGGGCTAACAGAACACAAGACCAGGAACCGAACCTCAGAATGGAGTAGGGAACAGAGACGGAACCGACTGGGAAACAAAAGAATACAAAACATGGAACAGAACAGCAACTAAGGGAAATACCAAAACACAACAGACAAGATACAGATACTGGACAAAGGACAACAGACAGGGCCGAACCCAAAACTCAACAACTGTAAGACAGATACTGAACAGATCGAAATAACAAACACTGAAGTACATGGACCAGGAGTAAATACTAAGACATTAACACCGAACTGGGAACTAAGACATGGAGCCAAAACACAGACTAAATAACAAATACAGAAGGGACTACAAATAACAGGACTCATTGAGAACTAAATGAACAGAGCAGAACAGACACGCCCACTCATTGTCCAGCCTTAAGATTGCACAGCAATAATTTGTTGTCGATCGATTAATTCCCCTGGGTGGAGTTTGTTAAAGTACAGACCCTGTAAAAGCCGCAAATGGGCTGAAATTGCACATTCAGATCAAAATGGAGGACTTCCTGTTAGGTTTTGGGTATGACTTCAAAAGGTTTTTTGTGCGTCTTGGGATGATACATGTACCACAGAAGTTTCATGCATCTAGGTGAGGGCTGCATCGTGTGAAGGGTCACTTCCTGCTGCCATTAAATTCCATCCTTTAGATGTGTTCAGGGCGTGACCCTTATCAAACATGAAATTTGGTACAGAGTGTGTACAAAGAATTGCAACAACTTCCTGTTTGATGGAAAAGCATCGAACTTCAACAAAAACAACAACAACATGGACTAGCCATTACACGAAAACTCAACAATCTTCACAACAGAGCATCTTCAATGTCTTAAATCTCTTCTGAGACTGTTAGAGGTGGGTGCGGCCAACCTGCTAGGAGTAGTACATAACAGCGTGAAATTTGACACTTCCTTTTTCTAGTGGGTGGCGCTATGACTTTGAGTGAATGTTGGCATATGGATGTGTTCAGTGTGGGACTGTTATCATACATGTACATTTTGGAACATACCTGAGCATGTACACTGAATTTATAACAATTTCCTGTTTTATGGTGAATCATCAATTTTTGATGCCATGCTACGCAGCCTACACAATATACACACAGAGGTACAGACAGTAAAGGTAATGTAAGCTATAGGCTGAATGAGTAATTGTAAAGATATTTATACTAATGTTAAGAATAATCATAATGTTAATGATAATAATAAATATAATAATAACAATAATTGTAGCAGAGCATGTTGAGCAGGAACATGGGGCAGCAGGTGACTCGCAAACACAGATCCAGACTCCACAGCTCCAGAGCCAGAAACCCTGCAGGAAGTGACAGAAGGAGAGAGGAGAGGGACGAGAAAGCACAAGACTACGGGAAAGGGAAGAAGTCAAGTTAGTAACATGCATTAATAGGATGAGGTTGTCTACCAACGGCTCCCTTCTACGTAATAGCGAGCCAGACGGAGCCGGTGTTCCATATGGTCATGTCAATGTATGTCATGTAAATCAGTCAGTCAGTCTCATATCTAAAGGGTCAATTCTCTTGGCAGGAACTAGAAATAGGCAACACACACAGCTCTTGATTATATTACAGTGAATTTATTCTCTAACTATGGTGATAAAAAGATGGTTGGATACAGGGAACATAAACATTTGCTGAACAATGAGCCTGGAGGTTCGACTGTGGGAAGCATTTGACTCATACGGCATGGAAGAACTAATGAAAGTAAACTAATGCTCTAGTTTAGGAGTTAAAATGGACATCTGATCACAGAACGTGTGTTAAGTCTTACTGCTTGTCGACAGCCTGCTTTTGGCCTGTTGCACGGGTCCCACGCTAGCTGCCCAATCCTGGCTTTTTGCTAGGGATTCTCCGGGGTTCTCCGTGTCTGATTGAAAACGCCTCCTCCGTCTGGCAATTCGGCTGTTTTCAGGTTTCCTTCGTTGTAGCTGGCGAGACCACGTGGCTTGGTCTGACCTCGGTGAAGTTGGCTCGACGAAAAAGGCTTAAAATGGAACTTGGTCGTTCCTGAATTAGTCCAGTGTAACTTAACGGACTGATAACTTTAACAAACAAAAGAAATAAAGAAAAATAAAAACAAACTGAAGGGCAGATCGATGTCGCGGCACTTCAGGTGTGTAGCTTCAGGCGAACAAAAGGGCCTTTCTGTTTCGCTGGCCGAGTCTGGGCGTTGCCCGGCGAGGCACGCCAAACACGTGCCGAAGCGTCCAGAGGGCAGAACAGAGTGTAAGAGAGCCAACAGCGAAGAGAAGCGAGCGCGTGAGGTCGCATGTCGCTCTTTTGTTGCCTGGGGCGTGGTTCCCCATGGGGCGTCTCAGGTTTCCCAAGGGACTGCCTTTCTAAACATAATGTCTAAAAAGTAAAATGTATTTACACGTATTATAATCAAATATTTTCCACAATCAAATCTCAATGGTTGAACGGTTGTACTGTTCTAGGTTAAGCATTTGGTAACAGGAAACAATTGTCACATTATTGGTCAGGATATTTATACATTTAACGGCATTTCCGACAAGGCATGTAATACTTATTTCGTCCACTTGGGGGAGCTCAGGTTACATGAGGAAAGCTTGGATTAAATCAAAGATCGTCTGGGAATATTGTTGATTCATCCTTAAATTCAAGCTGGCGATTAAGAGTATAGTAAAACATTCCTTTGTCATCATCTCTAAAGAAATTTTGTAGGAAAGTATTATGAACAAGCACTGATTACATCAGATGAAGGGGTGTCTTGCTGAAAATAAAAACACTGCACAAGTAACTTCTTTTCAGCACTAATATCAACAACAGATAGCAACAACAGTTAACATAACTACTCAAATTTTAACAGTCAGGCCCCGCGTTATCAGCTTCAGAATCAAAAAGGTGCCAGTTTTATGGTCGGGACAGCACTTAGAGAAAGCAACTTTGACCCCCCCCCCCCCTTCTTCTCTGGGGAGGAGAGAGGAATTTAGGGTAGCTCCAAATTTATTCTATGTAAAATGCACAAATCCACACCGTTGTTCACTACACATGCAAAGCTGCCATACAGGAGTCACAGAATTACAATATATGACTGGAAAAGCAGTTTAATAGGTCTCCTTTAAGGACTAAAGTTGACAAGAGTACGGAACAGGTGCTCGGTACACTATAACAAATACAATTGGCGGCTGTGGCTCAGGAGGTAGAGCGGGTTGGCCATGGTGGCTGTGTATGAATGAGTGTGATTGTTAGTTTCCGTTTGAGCACTTAGGCTCAGTGTATGAATGTGTATGACTGGTGAA